TAATAATAATAATAATAATAAGAACAACAACAACATGATTTTTATAATAATAATAATGATTGTTATTATTATTATTATTACTTTTTTATTTATTTATTTTACTCACATTTTTCCAGCTTTTTTTTGTGGCACTGCGGTTTTATTGTTGCGTTTTATTTGTTCCAACTTGTTCACAAACATGAAAAACTAAATATTATGACGCATATTTACATACTTCCTATTGTGAAAGCCTCTTAAGTTTTATCTCTGCCATATCGCCCAAACCTTTACTTCCGTCAATAAGCAAACTTCTGTCTGCTTGATTTTATCACGTCTGGTAAAGAGAGACATCACTTACCAAAGTCTCCTCTGTCCAGAGTAATAATTTCAGGATCATCATCATAAATGCCTGTAAAACAGAAATCATTTGAATATATAGGTTATCAAACAACTGAACAAAATCAAACACATCATAAATGTTCACGTCTCAAGCTTTTAAACAGACCAGTAACTCACTCGAGTTACCAAATCATACCGAAATCATATCTGTAGTAGCTCCAGCTTTCGTATCTGCCTCCCTGCTGTTCGTCCTGAAGCCCTTTCTCTCCGTATTTGTCATATTTCTTCCTCAGGTCTTCATCCTTCAGCACTTCATATGCACGGTTGATCTTCAAGAACTTCTCGTGGGCCGTCTTGTCATTCTACACGTACAGAAAAGCAGGGTTTTGTGTTGTGGGGAAAAACAAGGTAATCGTGTAGTGTTGATCACTAAATGAATAGAGACATGATAAATTATGCAACACATTTAAGTTGTATATCTAAGCAACAAACATTCCAAGGGTTATTTTAATCTCACTTGTCTTTGTTTAGCAGAAAACAGAAAATACCATGATGACAATGATTCATTTAAGCACATCATAAACACTGGACTGAAAAAGTCCACAGCATCATATATTTATATATTTTCTTTTAAGGAATGATGAAGCATGCAAAATCAATGTTTTGTTACTGGCTGGTTTACGTCAGTCAATTGGATCCATCCAAACATCTGTCAACCCACTGGACTTTCCAACAACCTACCAGACTTTCTGACCATCCATCAGACTCTCCGACAACCCACCAGATTATCCGACAACCCACCAGATTATCCGACAACCCACCAGATTATCCGACCACCCACCAGATTATCCGACCACCCACCAGACTTTCTGACCATCCATCAGACTCTCCCACAACCCACCAGACTTTCCAACAACCTACCAGATTTGACAATCCATCAGCCTTTCCGACAATCCATCAGCCTTTCCGACAATCCATCAGCCTTTCCGACAATCCACCAGACTCCCTGACATCCCACCAGACTCCCTGACAGCCCACCAGACTCCCTGACAGCCCACCAGACTCTCCGACAGCCCACCAGACTCCCCGAGAACCCACCAGACTCCCTGAGAAACCACCAGACTCCCTGAGAAACCACCAGACTCCCTGAGAAACCACCAGACTCTGAGACAACCAACTAGACTCTCCAAAAACCTACCAGACGTTCTGACAATCCATCAGCCTTTCTGACAATCCGTCAGCCTTTCTGACAATCCGTCAGCCTTTCTGACAATCCGTCAGCCTTTCTGATAATCCGTCAGCCTTTCTGACAATCCATCAGACTTTCTGACAATCCATCAGACTCTTAGACAACCCACCAGATTATCCAACCACCCACCAGACTTTCCATTAACCTACCAGACTTTCTGACAATCTATTAGGCTCTCTGACAACCCACCAGACTCCCTGACAACCCACCAGACTCTCCGACAGCCCACCAGACTCCCTGAGAACACACCAGACTCTCTGAGACAACCGACCAGACTCTCCAACAATGCATCAGACTTTCTGAAAACTCACCAGCCTTTACATGAAAACAAACCCACCAGACTCTGAGACAGCTCACCAGACTCTCTGACATATTTACATATTGTCAAGCTAAATCATAATTATTTCAGATGGACCACAAACATAAAACAACAGAACACCTGGTATCAGTAAGAGCAGAATCACTTCAGACACCTAAACATGTTTTTGCTGTGTTCTCGGTTATGGTACTCACTGGGTTCTTGTCTGGATGCATGGTCAGAGCAAGCTTCTTAAAGGCCTGCCGGATCTCCCGGGTGCTCACTTCTCGCGAAACTCCCAGTAACTTGTAATAATCTTCATCTGAGTGACTGGAAACCACAAGCCACATTATGAAGAGCAGGAACAGCAGCGTTTTCCTCGAAGGCTTCAGACAGTTCAGGATCATCGCTGTGCTTGATTTCTGATGCCTCATTGCTGCAGGTAATCTTGAAGATGTCTGAAGATTCAAACCATGTGCCAAATAAAGAATCCTGTAAGCACAGCACAGAGCAAACGGTCAGAAGGCCGTCCACAGGGCCTATTACCCTATTTACCATGTAGAAATCAACACGCAGGCATACGCCGGCTATATTTACAGAAGGTGGAGTGTCTTTAAACTGTGACGGGATACATCGCACAGCCGAAATCCTGGCCACAGCAGGAAGTCATCATGGTTTACTATGAGTGACTACATACTCGATTAGACAAGAAAGGCAGTCAAGTAAACATTATTTATCTAAGTCTAACCTATAAACTTACAAAGATATCATCATCTATTACACATCTGTGCTCTTCAACACTCTAACATTACCTTCCCTCTACAGCAACAGGTCTGTATGTCGCTGCTGTCGGAAGAAAACCTCTCCATTTTTGTCGTTTTTCAGTTATTGACATAATTTGAAAATGCCTGTTGCTCTTTACATTGTGTGTAAATTTCCTGATGAATGGACCAAAAGAAACGGCCCAAAATGACTTGGAAAGACGTCTGGTTCCATTGACTTACATTAAAAGTAAAGTATGTTTTTTCCTTCTCCTGTAAAGTTACCATTTTGCAGATATGAGGTTTTCTTCTGACAACAGTGATATGTTGGAGAAACATAAGAAGACTGTGAAAAGGTTATTTTTAAAAAGCATTTTTCTTATATTTTAATTATATTAAATCTCTGAGGTCCAATAATGACATTTTTGAGGGTTTATGTACCAAAATCAGCCATAACTCATGTTATATGACCATTTGTCAACCTTCTATTATCCCTTAGTATATAAAACAGTCTGTTTCTGTTAATGTGACATACACTGTATGTCCAAGTCTGTAGACTCCAGCGTTTCATCTGAAATGAAGGGTATTAATAGTGAGTTTGTCCCTCTTTGCTGCAGTAACAGCCTTTACTCTTCTGGGAAGGCTTTACACTAGATGTTGGAACATTGCTGTGAGGATCTGATTGAGTATTAGTCAGGTACTGATTTTGGATGGTCAGTTCTGGATCTCCTGCTCATCTCAAAGGTACTGGATGGAGCTCCATCACTCCAGAGAACACAGTTCCACTGCTCCACAGCCCAGTGCTTTTCTATGGAGATGATACTGAATGGACGCAGCTTAAGGCAGCTTGTAGCATGTAAGTTCAGCAAAAGCGACATCAGAATAACATTTTATCTTCTTTAGCCTATTATTATTTTTGGTTAAGCGCTCTGAGCTGTAGAATCTACACCAATCAGGCATAACATTATGACCACCTCCTTGTTTCTACGCTCATTGTCCATTTTATCAGCTCCACTTACTATATAGGTGCACTTTGTAGTTCTACAGTTACAGACTGTAGTCCATCTGTTTCTCTGATACTTTGTTAGCCCCCTTTTACCCTGTTCTTCAGTGGTCAGGACCCCCATGGACCCTCACAGAGCAGGTACTATTTGGGTGGTGGATCATTCTCAGCACTGCAGTAACACTGACGTGGTGGTGGTGTGTTAGTGTGTGTTGCGCTGGTCTGAGTGGATCAGACACAGCAGTGCTGCTGGAGTTTTTAAACACCTCAGTGTCACTGCTGGACTGAGAATAGTCCACCAACCAAAAGTATCCAGCCAACAGCGTCCTGTGGGCAGCGTCCTGTGACCACTGATGAAGGACTAGAGGATGACCAACACAAACTGTGCAGCAGCAGATGAGCTATCGTCTCTGACTTTACATCTACAAGGTGGACCGACAAGGTAGGAGTGTCTAATAGAGTGGACAGTGAGTGGACACAGCGTTTAAAAACTCCAGTAGCACTGCTGTGTCTGATCCACTCGTACCAGCACAACACACACTAACACACCACCACCACGTCAGTGTTACTGCAGTGCTGAGAATGGCCCACCACCCAAACAGTACCTGCTCTGTGAGGGTCCATGGGGGTCCTGACCACTGAAGAACAGGGTGACAAAGTATGCAGAGAAACAGATGGACTACAGTCTGTAACTGTAGAACTACAAAGTCCTCCTATATGGTCAGAGGAGCTGATGGACAGTGATTGTAGATACCAGATTTTAATGTTATGGCTGATCGGTGTTTATAAAGGTGCTATAAGAATAAGAATATAAGAACAGTATTCTTACTACCACCACCAGAAATAGCAGATAAACCATTAATAAAGGACTAACTAAACTACAGCTGATTAACCAAAACAGCAGAACCAGAACTGTTTCCACCATAAAAACCCAGTTTACTCCTCTTTATTCCTGCTTTATAAACTCCATTTGTCAACCACTCCGGGTCTCAGGAGTTACAGTAACATATCCGCCTGCACCTTGTTCGAATTTTCCTGTTCCACCTTAAATGGTGCAGCAGTAACACTGTGGCGCTTGCGGCGTTCTAATAATAACTGCTCCATTTAAGGTGGAACGGGAAAATTCGAACAAGAAGCTGGGTAAGTTCACCAGGTAAAGCTAACAGGCTAACGTTAGCCACACCAGAGACACGAACACAACAAACCGGTCCAACAATAAAGGCAACATTCAGACAAAACACCACAAAACTGTGATTTACCTCCGAAACACAAACGCTGAGCTCCGATTCTGAGTTTACGGGTCGCTGTGGCCCGGATGCCGGTACTCTGCTACACCGCGCTGCACCCCCCGACAAACTCTGCACCCCAAGGACCCTTCGGTAGCCGACGTGCCCGCCTGATTGAAAATCTGGCTCAGGTTTGGGCTTGATTTTTCTTTGGAAAACTCATCCTGAATAGGAATAAACTAATTCCTATTGTGACCCTCTATTAAACCTGAAATTGAGCCCGAAACGAACACAACTAAGCTCAGTCCAGTTTCAGGACACCAAATGTGTAGGACACAGTTAAAGTAGTAGAGCTTGGAAATTAATTTTAAACAGGAATTATATATTAATATTTAGAATATTTAGCTGCCCCGAGCAATATTATAAAATGGATTTTACCTTAGTAGGCGAATTTTATATACACGAATCCTGGGTGATGGCATCGGTTCTTTTAGGCTTTTCTGCAATGAATTATTATTATTGCTATTATTATTATTATTATTATTATTATTATTATTATTATTATTATAAATGTAATTATTATTATTTTTTATTATTGTTATTATTATTATTATTTTCTTTTTTAATGATTCCTTATTACAAATAGAAGCGAACAAAAAAGTTTTTTGTTAAATTAATTTGTATTTTTTGTTTATTTATTTATTTATTTTTCTTTATTTTATTTTACTTTTTATTTTTATTTTGCTATTTATGCATCAATGTATATATTGTCCTCTCGTTTGATGAGGTTCTAGATTCAGAAACTTTAGCTGTGGTTGTCTGATGGCTAATAGATGAAGCTGTTCTCGCAACTTGCGGCTCTTTTCAGACGCTTCACTGATCTTTTACTTAACTTTGCTTAAGTTATTAATATAAAGGCAGTGATGGGTGTTGCGTCACCCAGCGCCCACCAGCACAGCCTGTACCCCACCAAGTACCATCCCCCGAGTGACGCAATGACGTTCACAGAGCGCCACGTCTTTTCTCGCGAAATTTCTTTTTGTAGCTCGTGAATATTCATTAAGCCCTGCACAGAACGCCGTCTGATTGGCCGAGCAAAACGCGGCTCTGCTGAGGGAGAGTCGATGCTAATCTCAGTCACAAACACCACAACATAATTTTAAAATCTTTATAACCACATCCAGCTAATTTACCCGTGAAAATGAAGGCAAAACCATTTTTAATATCTAACAGAGTCTGCAGGCAGACTTAATAAAGAACAATGGCTGCTCAGCGATGTTGTTGAGGTAACTATTCGACCATAACTACTCAGCCTTTCTGTGTTTTGTTAGCGCCAAGCTAACAGCAGCGCACATTCACTTCTCAGTTAGTTTAACTGGTAGTCCTGACAGAGGTTTCGAATAAATATTCCCTTAATCAGTAATCAGATAGATCAGATATTGTAATGAATAACCAAATAGGCAGTATTGGCTAACAGAGCATATTAATTCTCTCACAAAGGGTCGGTCTTGGGAGATTCTAGACACTGGAAAGCCCCTGGGTTCACAGACAGGCCTGTGTGTACCAACTGACCCAGTGAAGAGAGGGGCAAGTTGACCTTGAAAGGTAAAGCAGGCTGGTAAAACCTGTTGAAACCAGTTTTTAGGAGTGAGCTCATCATGCGATGACCAGATTGATGGACGAAGAGATGCACCTATTAGAGAATGAGCTGATATCAAAGTTTGAGAAGTGAGGTGGGGGGATATCAAACTACCCCAGATAAACGGTATAAACTGGTGTTTGGGACACTGTATTTGCCCAGTTGAGCCGCTTAATGCTGAAATAAAGAAGCAGCCTTTTTCCCTCTTTCCACAAACTCAGTGTCGGAAGACTCTTTGACATCTTTTGAGAATTTAGACTTAAAACAGTCATTAGTGAAAGAGTTTAGCTGGTATTAAAAGATTTCTTGTTATTCATAATATTATGTTGGAGGCCTGGGGTTGAAGGGGATAGCCTTTGGTCCCGACAGTCCGCTGGCGTTTTTGCTCAGCGTTTTTCTGGACGGCCCACTGGTGTTTAAGCAGAGTATTAGACAATATTTCATGTATCATCGCTTATTTTTCACTCACAGTCTCTTTTCTTTAGTTATACTTTGGAAATTAGTTCAGTAAACAATTTTAATCCAGCTCAGCATCAGAAACAACATTTTCTATAAAACAATTTTATATCAGGCCTTATATTTTTCTCTTAGTTGTTTGTAATATTTTTCATAGTTTATTTTCTAAAATAAAAGTCTCTGTACATTTAAAATCTGTTTAGGGAGATTAAAAGCTAGTTAGAGCTTGTATGCAGGACAGTAATCTGGGTGGTCCAAGGGTGGACCAGCAGTGGAAAACAGTCAATGGGGTGCCGACCTTATCAAGCCGGAGGACTGATATATGCTCACTATCTGCGATTAGACAAAGGTACAGGCTGTGAGACTTTGTGGAAACCAGGGAGAGTCATTTCCATCAGGCTTATGTAAAATTGGTCATGTTATTGTTTGCTTTATTACATTTTTGATTGATTTATGATTGATAATCGATTTATTAAAGTAGCAAACAACAAGAGGAATTCTCCATGACAGTATATAGACCCCAATATTTCAGAAATGTGTGTCGCATTGTTTAGTTCTAACAGCTTGAATTTGGAAAAAATTACCAAATCACACGAAAGAAAACCATTTCCTCTGAGTGCTGCACGGAAATTACGAAAGTCTCTGTTCACTTGTTGAGTCAAGCAGCAACAGAACATTTAAACAGTACAGTTTACCCAGAAGCCTGACTCAAATTTCGAGGAGATATCCATAAATAATTTGTCTACTCAGCATTTCTCAAAACATTCACTGAACAACCAAGCAGTGAAAGGCAAACAGAAAATCTGAGTCAACATGTTTAGCTTTTAAATGTCGCAATTAAACAGCATTTCATTCAGTTTCCGTAAGATTTTCAATATACTTGTCTTCACATCATAATCTTGTGTGATAGTTCCTTTCAGAAACGTATTTTTATTATTATTACTATTATTATTATTATTATTATTATTAACTTGTCCTGTCTTTGTCTTTTTCTGTTTCAGCCTTTATTTTTGTTCCATGTGCTTTTGTTCAAGTCATTCATGTGTTTTTGTTGCTGTTGTTGGTTTTTGTCTCCCCAGTCCTGCCTTCTTGTTATCTGTCTCACCTGTCTGTTGTCTGTAGCCCCGCCCTCTCATTTGTCCTTGACCATGCATAGCAAGTTGAAGTGTGTTTTGTGCGGTACTTTACATGATCTACATAATGATATTGTAACTTCTACTCCTTTACATGTATATAAGACGACATTCTGACCTTGTGGATCCTTTATCTACATTCAAGCAGCAGTGTTCTGTCTTCTACAATAGCAGGCAGTGATGACTTACTTGAATTCATGAAAGTGCCTGTGTGCTGATGGCCCACTACACTGAATGTCACCAAAAGCGCTTGCTGGTAGTTTCCAAATGCTCAAGGTCTGAAACATCAACATGGTTTAAATTGTTGCAGTTTTTGTAATCAGATGCCATTCTGGTCAAAAGGGTTTCATCTCATTATATTTCCATGACCTTTCGGAAATAAAAGAGTGTGATGTAGTACATGAACAATGTTAATATTTCAAAATGTCCACAAAGTCCATATGCTGAAATTAAGCTGCAAAAACAGCATGTTTTGCATCCACTATTCTTGTGATGTCACAAAAACCAACACATTTATATACAGGGTGATTCAAAAAGATTAATCCAATTTCAAAGCGCCATATTTTTACAACCGTGAGGCGTCTAAGAACCAATCACAATCCCACTGAAAGAGTTTCTGACTGTCAGTGGAAGTCTGAGAGGAGATGAGACCCCTGAGCAGAAAGCGTTCTGCGTCCTTCACTTCAATAACAGTGAATCCGTCATAACTGTGCAGCGTGATTTTCGTGGGCAGTGAACCTCCAACAGCTCAGAGCGTTCGTCGTTGCTTCCACAACACTGGACGATCTCCGAAATCACACTGAAAGAGCCGTGAGTGCAGCGACACCCGACATGCTCAATCCAGTATGGGATGAATTTGACTATGGCGTTGATGTCCGTACAGCTGGAGGAGGTTCATACTGAGCACTTGTACAATAACATAATAAACTTTATGATCATTTAAACCATTTACAGTTCACTGCATTGTTCTGTAATGATTTACAAGTGAAATTAATCATTTTGAAATCAGATTAATCTTTTTAAATCACCTGTATATCCACCTATTCAGCCTACAGCAGTTTGGCTCAGTCCCCTCACGATGCAGTTATAAGGCCTGTTTCAAACTGGCCAGTTTTTGAATGAGGTAGAAAAAAAGCAAAATCCAAGAAAAATGTAGGATTTGGGCCTTTTAAAACTCCTGTGACCACAACAAGTTCTAAAGAAACCTGGTTTATTTCTGATCTTCCAAAACACCACTACACTCTTAACAATAGAGGCAATGTAGGTGCCATTAAGGATTGTTTGAGCGAGTGAAGCCATAGAAAAACTACTTTTGGTTCCCATGTTTGAAAAAAGATTTCTGTGACTGAAGCACCTGTTAAAGGTCCAAAAAACTGTCACATAATATAAGTAGTGGAGTCCAAAAGTCGAGAAAGAGAGCGGCAGTAAAAAAAAAATTCTAATTTGCCTTTGTTTCTAATTTAATAGAAAGATTTGCATCATACTTTCTATCATCAGCGTAACAGTTTGAGTGAAAAGTAGAATCTTTGAAATTGTAAAATTTCAGAATTTCTCAGTATTTGGTGGTGTGTGCGTCTTTTGCTTAAATCACAGACTGCACTCGAGCTGCATGAACCCCACCAGTCTGTACAAAAGCCTCTGATCAGCAGATCAAATCATTCTGAGAGTCTGAGCACGAGCTCCAGAACAGATAAGACTCAAAAACAGTCTGAGCTTCTCATTCAAAGGCCTCAGTGTGGTCAAAGGCCTCGGTGTGGTTAGTTCAGAAATGAGCTTAAATGTGAATAGTGAACTAGAAATGGGGCAGGAATAGTGCCTGAATAGTCTTTCATCATTTTTCTTGTCATAACTTTTCTGTGTTTTACGTTTGTCAAGATTGTAAAACTTTTTGTTGTTTATTTCCAGGTTTAGATAAAA